ACGCCACACACTTTTATTTTGAAATATGTTTAGAATACATTTTTAGGTTCAAACTCTTTTTTGGGAGAAAAATTCAATGTAACAATGTTATGCTTGTCACCTGCATGTACTAAATTTTTTTGAGTGTGTATTACAGAATTTTCCTATTAGGTATCAGACTTGTGTTAATTTAATGAGTCGGTACTTATCTCTATTATTTTTTTGAGTGTGTATCACAGAATTTTCCTATTAGGTATCAGACTTGTGTTAATTTAATGAGTCGGTACTTATCTCTATTATCAATACAATATTGTCACATTACATGACAAACAAAATGTAATTGTAATTTTGAAACCAATATGATATATGAATTCTCATGTCATTAAAATTTTCTCTTATCTTTTCACAAGACACTCATAATCATTGGTTTAGGTTTCAAAATCTGGTTAGTATCGCTTTTAAAATCGATTTTTAAAATAATTTAATGAAAAAATAAAATAAAACTCATTAATTTATATGGTTTTATCTTTGTTTTGGGGGTGTTAAAATATCCTTTATGGTATATAGTTTCATCAAACTGCCTTAAGAAAATAAATTTTGAAAAACAAACACAATAACACATGGGGTGATTTGGGAAGTTGGTTAAAAGTTAGTTTTTTTATTTTTATTTTTATTTTTTTGGATTTTTTGTCCATTTGTGTGTAAAAAATGTGAGGTGATGTGACTCAAAATAGACTAAAAACTAAAAGTTAGCTTTTAGCTAGCTTCCCAAATTGAGTTATTACGTGCTTCAAAATGTTTATATGATTTAGAAATTAAAAGTATAATGAGACAGAATTTTAAAAAAAAAATAATTAAAATTGAGATGGAGTTTGGTATTGGCTATTTTAGTAATTTGCAAATTTTTTTATAATTTAAAAGACTGATGTGCTTGAAATTTTTTAACAAAATATTTTTTATATTTATTTATTTATTTGTCAATAAATATGAAAATAATTACATTATGAGAGATATTTAATTAATCCACTAAACTAAGACCAACAACTAATACCATACAAATAGAAAAATATTTGAAACACTAAGGGTGTGTTTGGTAACGTTTACGTTTTCAGTTTATATTTACAAAAATTTTATAAACTGATTTTTGTTTATTTTTAGAAAAACATAAACTACAAACACGTTTGGTAATTGACAAAATGTTTAAAAAAAATTTAAAATATAAAAAAGAGTGAGAAATGGCAAGTGGTGGAAAGTGGCGGCGGAAGACAGTGGTAGAAAGTGGTGACGGTGGGTGGTGAGTAGCTGGTGGTGGCAGGTGGGTGGTTGTGGTGGGCGGGTGATGGGTGGTGATGGCAGGTGGGTGGCGGTTGTGGTGGTGGTTGGTGGGTTGGTTAGGGTTTGGGATGAGAGTTTAAGAGTTGATGAAAATGAGGGTAATTTAGGATTTTTAAAATTGATGGTGTCAAACGAAAAGAAATTAACGAATTAAAAATATGTGTGGTGTGTATTAAGACAATGGCGTTTATTGAGAGTTTGTGTGATGTGTAAATAGAATTTCTTTTTATTAGCAAAATGAGCTTGTAAGAGCTACCAAACGAAGCCTAAGGGTGAAGCTTATGATGAATTGTAATTCAGACGTCTTACAGATCCCTCATAAAAGAAATTAAAAAACAAAAAAAATAACTTCTAAATTCATCCACTTAGAAAGTTTTTTAAGGTGGATTAATTAGGTGGGTTTGGATTTGTTCAATTGAAGATACAATCCGAATTGATCCGTCTAAACTCGGCCATTTGTAATTCTTAAGCATTGTTTGATTAGTAAAACTAATATTGAGAGAATTAATGAGAGTGTTTGGGAAGTTGCTATTTTAATAGGTTAGTTTAATTTTTAATTATTTTTGTAGGGTAAAATTTTTATATTTGGGAAGATAGTTAGATACCACGAGCAGTTGGGCAACTTGAGCTTTGCTTGTCTCATTTCAATTGTATAAACGAGCCTAGCTTGAGCTCCTTTTATAAATTTGGCTAAAAAATGAAAACACAAAAAATGTGTTTCCGTTTTCAGTTTTTTTTTTTGCCACCCAACACTAATCACCACCAGCCACCAGTGGTGGCGAAAAACGGTGGTGGAAAATGTTAGCGGGTGGTGGCTAGTGTTGGGTGATAAAAAAAAAAAAACTGAAAACTCAAAATGGAAACACATTTTTTGTGTTTTCATTTTTTGGCCAAATTTATAAACTAAGACCACTGATTTATAAATCAAAAATTTTACCAAACAAGTTTTTATTTGAGTTTTTAAAATTTTTATAAATATAAATAGAAAACTGAAACCGTAAGTATTACCAAACGACACTTAAAAATTTTAACAAAATTTCTATAATATCTAAAAAGTCAACAAGCTTAGCCTAGTAACTAATCGCATACAAAGTGCCTGTTTGGCAGAGCTTAATTACAACTTATTTCAGCTTTCAACTTAATTTAAGCTATTTTGATGTGTTTAGTTTAGCTTATAGCTTATAGCTTTTTGGAAGTCAGAAATCAGCTTATTCTTTGAATGGGGCAGGAAATGCTTTAAGAATAAGCTGGAAATCAGCTTAAGCTGAAAGTTATAAGGTATAAGCTGTTGAAGCATAAACTATAAGTACTTTCTCACAGCTCTACCAACACATGGCCAAAGTCAATCAATAGTGCCAAATAACTACAAAGTGCCTGTTTGGTGCAGTTTAAAAGCTGCTTATTTCAGCTTTCAGCTTAATTTAAGCTATTTTGATGTGTTTGGTTTAGCTTATAGCTTATAGCTTATACCTTTTTGGAAGTCAGAAATCAGCTTATTCTTTGAGTGAGGCAGGAGATGTTTAATTTATAAGTCAGAAATCAGCTTATGTTCATAATTATAAACTATAAGCTGTTTAAGCATAAGTTATAAGCACTTTCCCACAGCTTTACCAAACAGGGCCAAAGTCAACAAACTCTAATAGCTAATCCACCAAGTTAAGCCCAACAACTAATCCTATATCAAATAAATTTTTAATAATTTTTTTATTTTTCTATTTGTGTTTGGTGTTCAAGTAAATTTACATATGTGATTGATGAAATTTATTATTAATCGAAGCATTCTTATATATTTTGTTCGTAATTTTTTTTTATATTAATACGTAAATTAATTTAAGGTTTTTTTTTTTTTTTTTTTTTTTTCAACCTCAAGCTCAAGATCAAGCTCGAATTCAGCTCGTTTATGTACTCAAATGAGTCCAAATTTGATTATTTAAGCTCAACTGAAGCTCGACTAATTCTTTATAAATAAGTTTAAACACTCAAAAAGTTGGCTCAACTAGATTAGGCTCATTTGCAACCCTAAGGGAGAGTAAATGAGAAATAAAGTGAGGAGGAGAATTTAAATTTGTCCTTGTTTATTTATTTTATTTTTTTAAACTTTCATGTGCATTGCAAATATTTAAGGGTCTATTTGGTATAACCTTTGAAGTTTAATTTTACTTCTTAGTTTGAGTGTGTTGTTTGGCTACAGTTTTAGAAAATCAATTCCACACCCATTTTTCAAAATATCACTTTTCAATATCATATGTCACAAACTCAAATCATAACCAAACAAAATACAAATTTTTCATAACCAAACAATATCATACACCCACTTTTCATAACCAAACAAATTTTTCATACTCAAATTATAATTCCAAAACTCACAAATTTAAAATACAACTCTATTCTTAAATCATAATTCTAAAATTCTACCAAATGCAACTTAAGATTCTCTACTTTTTGTCAATAATTTTCTTTACTTAGCATGTTAGTGTAATTTTCCCGTAATTATATCATATAAAAATACTTTTAGATTAACGACACACTTCATTTAAAAAAAAAAAAATTCACAGGGAAAAAAAAACTAAGGCCTCGTTTGGGAACAAGTTAATTTAATAATTTTTTAGCTATTTAGCTAAAATATGAGTTGTTAAAAAAAATTAGTATGTTTGGGATGACTTTTTGACTTTTTACGAAAAGATGTGTAAAAAGTAGAGAGAAAAGAGAATCTTTGATTTTTTGGTATGAATTGTTGACTTTTTTACTAATTTAGTAAGTTTTTGATTTTTTAACTAAAAGAGAAGGTTCGCAAACGAGGCCTAAAAGAAAAAAGAAAAATGTTTGGGGGCCCTAATTCTGTGGCTCAAATGTGGCTCAAATGGCCAAAACGACGTCGTTTTGGCCATTTTGATGTTGTTTTGTACTCAAAACGACGTCGTTTTGGTCATTTGAGCCACATTTGAGCCACAGAATTTGGGCCCTCTACCATTGCTCAAGAAAAAAAATGTGAATATCAAGTTTTATTAAAAAATAAAATAAAATCGAGGGGCGTTCCCATATCTGCAAAAAAATCTCAGGGTGTTGTGTAAAATATTGTAAAGCCTAGTTTGGGATCTACTATATAATCCATCTTTTTATCCTTTTATCTTTTTTTCATCACATCGACACACTTCATTTTAAAAAGAAAAATTCACAGGGAAAAAAAAAACTGAGGCCTCGTTTGGGAACAGGTTAATTTAATATTTTTTTAGCTATTTAGCTAAAATATGAGTTGTTAAAAAAAATTAGTATGTTTGGGATGACTTTTTGACTTTTTACGAAAAGATGTGTAAAAAGTAGAGAGAAAAGAGAATCTTTGATTTTTTGGTATGAATTGTTGACTTTTTTACTAATTTAGTAACTTTTTGATTTTTGAACTAAAAGAGAAGGTTCACAAATGAGGCCTAAAAGAAAAAAATGTGAATATCAAGTTTTATTAAAAAATAAAATAAAATCGAGGGGCGTTCCCATATCTGCAAAAAATTCTCAGGGTGTTGTGTAAAATATTGTAAGGCCTAGTTTGGGTCTACTATATAATTCATTTTTTTATCTTTTTTTCATCACATCATTTTCTATTTTTCTGCATATTTTTTCATAAAAAGACAAAAAGTACACATTTTTAAGACACCCCAAACCAACCCTAAATTATGTTTTGCATGATTAAAAATCAACGGCTGTGATCTAACCTTAAGCCTATCATCTCTCCTATATGAACGCCGAAACCGCGCTTCTCTCCGTGCTCGAAACTCTCTCACTACCATAGCCGAGTGCCAGATTCTCTCTCTAATATAAAACTCTTGTTGTTCTTGTTCAATCAAATCAAATCAAGTATTCTGAATCTAAAACTAGGGTTTTGTGGAACAATGCTTCTTCGAAGCTCTTCGACGCCATTGCTGAATTCATTGTTTCAGTCCTCGGCGTCGCCAGAGGCTGAAGTCTTGCTTCAGATTTCGAAGCCTCGACCGGTGCCGATGGTTTCGTTGCCTTGGGCGAAGACGAAGATGAGCAGAGCAGTGTCCGAGAGCGATCTGAGAGAGCTCTCCATCTCCAAAAGCCGGCCATTTGACAAGAGTTTGAATGGGTTACCGGAGATAGCGGTGGAACAGGAGGAGAGAGAACTTGGTTTTGATTCGAAATCGGAGCCGTTGGATCAGGTGCTGCTTTTGGGATCTGCGTTGGAGGAGAGTGTTTTTGTGGGCGGTGGTGGTGGAGGATCAGACGGTCGCGACAGGGATGGGAATTGTGGGGATTGGGATTCTAATAATGGGAATGATAGTAGGGATGTGTATTATCAGAAGATGATTGAGGCTAATCCTGGGAACGCTATGCTTCTTAGCAATTATGCTAGATTCTTGAAAGAGGTAAAATTCTTTCTTTCACTTTATGTTTGGCTGCCAGGAAAGAATACGAGGAAAATGAGTAATGTTGTTGTGAAATAATTTTAAACTAATTTGTTGATTTTTCAAGTCCAAGAACAGAACCCATTTTTAATTTTTGGTATTCTCGCACATTCCTTGACGGGCTGGGCTTCCCTCCAACTGGAGGATACTGTTGGCCTCGTGGAGATTCACGACGATAATTTGAATTATTTTTTAATGTGTAGTACTCGTGGAAGATTATATGCGTGTAAAAAATTATGTTATTCGGATATCGATAACTATCTCATCGGATCAAATTTCTGTCAACTGTTTGTTTTTTCACTATCAATTTTTTTAATACAAAACTGATTTGTTCACGAAACTATCGATATCCGATCAACGTAACTTTTTTACAGGCATATCATACTCGACGAGTTTACACATAGAACGGTTGGAGGGAAGCCAGCCCCTTGACGAAACCATATTTTGAGGTTGGATTTGCATAACAGAACACGATAGGATTAACCACCTGTGATCACTCTGTTTCTAATGTTTTGATTTGTAATAAAAAACAGGTACGGGGAGATTTTGTCAAGGCTGAAGAGTATTGTGGGAGAGCAATATTGGCAAACCCAAGTGATGGGAATGTTCTATCACTCTATGCTGATTTGATATGGCAGACCCATCAGGATGCTCCTCGTGCTGAGGCTTACTTTGATCGGGCGGTTAAAGCTGCCCCAGACAACTGGTAAGATTTTGCAATTGCGTGATATGCTTCAATGGCTTCATGATTAGTAGTTGGTTTCAATTGAATTCACTTGATATGCTAAGTTGATTTTGATGCTGCAGTTATGTTTTGGCTTCGTATGCTCGGTTTCTTTGGGATGCTGAGGAAGAAGAAGAAGAAAAAGAAGAAGAAGAAGAAGGTGTCGTTGAAAGAGAAGAAAATTGCAATATTAATTTATCACCAGCAGGTTTCTTCCTAGGAGCTTATCCTCCACACCCTCCCATAGCTGCTACATATTAGGTTAACTCTTTCGTCATCCATCACTTGTATAATAGCTAATAACCTGACCACTTTTTCTATCTGTTCTTCCATTTTCCTTATTTTTTTTGGGACCATTTAGAAATATATTCTTGAGTAGCTATGATTTTTCTTTTTCTTTTTTCTTTTTTTTTCTTTCTTGGAGTTTTGACCTGTAAAAAAGAGAATAAATGATGAAATAAATTTATATTTCAGTACACCCCATCTCTATTTCTTCTTGTTTGTTTGTATTTTGACACTCTTTTGAGTTGGGATAAGAATGTGCCATGAGATGGAAAAGAAACGTTCAGTGAGATAGCTCAATATAGTTCATTCATCTATTTGATTGGTGAGGGATGCAAAAAAAATCTTCTCTGTATAATGTGTGGTGTTAACACAGATGTAAAGCGGTACTTGTGGACCGAACAACCAATGTTATCTAGTGTTTGCATCACTTGCATGGACCCTGAAACTTGTCGCTATTCGTCTGTTAACGTTTGATCAAGCAATGACACCCTGAGTACTCAACCCTGAAAACTACACTGGTGGTTGAAGTAGGTGTAAAAGCTTCTTTCCGTCTCCCAAATCTGCAGTATGTAATTAACAATTAAGAAACAGTAATAGGATAGGGCAAAGGTAGGTCTTCTAAGCCTTTGGTATAGGTTCAAATCCTATTCGATGCAAGAAATGTTCCGGTATGCAATGCACACTGTATGCAACCCTACACAACATTACGTGAGTTTTTAAGAATTGAAATAAGTGATTACATAATAATGCGCAAGTTAAACACAAATTTGCGTAAATTCATGAAAACTTATGTGATTAAGTGAATTTGTGTTAAACTTAAGTATTTTTGTGAAATCACTTGTATAAGTTCGTGAAATTTTGTATAATTTTGTATAGGGTTGCATATAGTGTGCAATGCACGCTCAAGATTTTTCCATTAGATGCAATTTATTTCCATATTTTTAAGGGTTTTATGTCAAGAATGACATTTTGAATGATTCTAATCAGAGGCTTGTTAAGTATAAAACGTTCCATATGTCCCTGAATAGTTTCTTTCCAACGGGATTTTGCTTCCTTGGTGAATGTTTTGCAGAAAATAGTGTGTCCATTTGGGGAGTGAGCAACAAGCTGCGTTTTGCAGCATTCCACCAAAGGCAATAAGCAGCATAAAAAAGCAAGTCGGTTGATTTGGGATGGGACAAAAAATGCAAGTGGTGAATTTACGTAATTGTCCTCCATGAAATTACATAATTATTCAAACAACCACATGGGTAATGTGTGTGACACCATAAATAAATATTATACAACAAAGCGAAAAAGTAACTTTTTACCAACTTCTCAAATCATTTTTCAAAAAAATCAAAAAGCTTGGTAAAAAATCAAAAACTAGCGTTTTACCATATTTCCAAAACACCCCAGTATATATATGTATTTGAAGGAAGGTGGGTACTGGCTCATCAAATTTTGATTTCGCAGCAGCGGCAAATGCAAGGGAAGATTGGGATATCAGAATAATACATGTGTAGATGAACTTTGAACCAACTTCCCTGTCCTCGATGAACTTCGTACCAACTTCCCTGGTAATTACTTGTGTATACGAGGGTGTTCACGGCAGTGGCGATTCCAGAAACTTATCAGATGGGGGTCACTCCAAAAACTTAAATTTCACAAATTTTATGAGGAAAAAAATTAAACTAATTAAAATTTGAACTTCTCCAATTTTAAGTAAAACAAACTTCTCATAAAATATTATTGTCTTAACAAAACCAAAAAATACATAAAACTTTTACAATTTCATTCGTTGAGGTGCCATTTTTTGGAATCGTTACATGATAGCATCATTATTAATAGTATGAAACACATTTGTTTCTATATATGTTATCACGCAATTATTCAACCATCGAATTATTAGGTTCTCATTCTAGTGAGTGCGTTGTTATTTTTAATTTGTTGGGGTCAATGTGTTATTAACTAAAACTTTTACCACATATATATATATATTTAAATTCCTTTGGCAAGCTGATGGGGAGATGTGACCCCATCAGTTACTACCTAGCATCGCCCCTAGTTCACGAGTAGGTTCGAGTCGATTTTACCCTCCATTTGCCAATTGACCCGAAGACATTGGGTTAGAGAAATGGTTACTTGTCACCGACTGCCATGCAACTTGAAATCGACCGTGTCAAATTATATGGTTTGACGGTCGGTTCAATCAATATTTGAACTATGATTTTGACGTCATATCTGTTAATAGTAGGAATATCTGTTATGATTTTCATTATAATATAAAATTGAAGGCCTTAATGACACTAGAAACCAAAATTGATTAATTTAATGGAATCAGCATAATTTTAGAACCTAATAAGAAATTTGATTAAAATTTGATTCAGTTCAGAAATAATAAGTTTGGATTAACTTAACTTAAACCTTGATTAAGACCCTAAGCTAATCTAGCGTATATATATGATATAATTAAGTAATTGAGCTCAAAACATTTCATTTGGTTGAGATTGTGCAAGTTAGAGAGAGAGTGAGTCATCCTAGAGAGAGAGAGGAGCTAGAGACTTGAAGATTAGCCAAGGAGCTTGAAGGATTGTGAAGTACAATTTAAGAATTTGTTAGTACATGCTCAATTGAAGACTTTAGGTAAGCATTTGAACCTTAATTTGTGAAATTAAATCACCAAAGATATGAATTCAAGAGGATTATGTGATTAAATACAAGAATTGAGTTAAGATTGTTGAAATTAGAGTCAATTCATACATGCATGGATAAAAAATCCATCACTTTGAGTATGAATTTTTCCATCCATGTTAGAATTGAAGATCATATCATACATGTATTCAAGAATTAAGTTGTTCTGAAACTAATCTCCATGTTTTTAAGCTTTGGAAAGGAATTTGAAATTAAATGTTACATGCATGATCATTTGAGTTAAAATTCATGAAGCTTTGAGCTATGATTTTACAAATTGACTTTGTATTCATGTTCTTGGAGGAGTTTTAAGTGTTTATGAAGTTGTATACAAGCCATGCAAGAGTTTGATTTGAAAACACAAGTTTTGAAGTTCAATTCAGTTCTGGAAATTTCAGAATCCTGTCTTATCGCTCGAGCGAACAATTTATTGCTCGAGCGCACATAGCATGCATCTAGTATTTTTGCAGACATTTGCAGTTGGCTCGAGCGACCGCCTTTTATTTTGCACCTTGGCTCGAGCGAACATCGAGCCTAGATTTGGACCATCCAGTACTTTTGCAAACCAAGTGGACTGCTCGAGCGACAAATGTTGCGCTTGAGCAAAGTGCTTTGTTTCAGTAAATTTTGAAAAGACATATTCTGATCACGTTTGCATCATCATTACCTTATGGGCTTTCTTAGGCATGAATTGAACATCCCAAATGAATTAAAGAGCTAAAAAGGAGCCTAAGAGAATTAAATAAGTTAAAGAACAATTCGGTTAAACAATGTGATTTGATGTGTGTGTGTGTTTATGAATTGTGTAGGACCATCCGTGAGGACGACTCAACAACCGAATCACTGTGAGTAATATAAGTACAAATATTTTCTTACTTGCTCTATTTTCTGAATGTCCTAAAGTGATAAGCTTTTCTGAAACTGTGCTTTTGCAAGTATGAATGAGTTTTTATTTGTCTGATCAACATAATATCTGCAAATGTATTTGATGAATACGAATGCATATGATGGACTCAAGGTCGTTCTATATATCTGAACTGAACCAAGGTCATTTTTTATATTTGACAAGATAGACCCAAGGTTGTTTTATTTATTTGACGAGTTTGATTATCGGTTATGAGTTGACCGAATGGTCATTATACAGCTGTAAATAAATGGGCTCAAGGTCATTCTGTTATCTATTGGACCTGAGGTCGTTCTGTTATATGTTGGACCTGATGTCGTTCTATCATATATTGGAGCTGAGTCGTTCTGTTATGATACGAAACTATTATGAGAGTTATTTTGTTTAATATTAGAACGCATTCATATAACCCCTTTACTTTGATGTTATTGACTAGGCGTTAACTCATTCCGTATTTATATGTATGTAGGTGAGTAGCGGGATGTCTAGCCCCAGCCCTAGTGAACCTGTGAAGGAATATCGAATTTTGTGGAGTCAGTCCAGGATGCCTCACGCACGAGGCTTTTGTCTTTTGATTTTCTGTTTTCTTTTGTTGGTCATGCTTGACCGTGTTTGTATATAAGTTTGATGTTTGTAAGTTATTGCCATATGTATGATCTTGGATATATGGAATATTTTTATGTGTATATGAGTGTAAGTTATTAATATATAAGAAATTTTTGTTCATGCCATTTATGCACAAACTCATTGGACAAAATTTTATATATATGCTTCTGCTTCTGGCCCCATACAATTAAATATGATTAGATTTCTATTTGAGGCCGTAAGTAATCTCATGATTACTGGATGAGATTACTGGGCGATTATGATCTAAACCTCTAGGGGGCGGGTTCGAGTCATGACATGAACAGTCCACTGTTGGAACAATGCCATGCCATTACCATCGCTATGAACCATGGAACAAAACCACCATACTTGATATACTACGATAGATCAACACTATCTTATGCTGCATTTAATGTTTTTGAAAGGGTGGCAGATCGAAGAGTTAAGGGTGAGAATGAAAAGTGAAAGGGGTTTTGGAGAAGAAATTAAAGAGGAATGAGAGAAAGAACTTGCAATCTATAATGGATGGAATAGAGAGACAATAGTGGAAGAGGGAAAGAATGTGAGTAAGAGTGAAGAGTGAAAGGCGTTTTGGATGGGGGAGAGGTGAAGAGAGAAATTGTAATCTCTAATAAATGGAAGGGAGGCATTAATGGAAGATAGAAAAGAGAGCATGAGATTTCTTGAACAACAAATGTATGAGTAGAGAGAGAGGGAGAGTAATGAATAAAAAATTAATAGAGGATAGCTATATTTTTTGAACAAAGAAGAGAATGTGAATAGTAATCTGTATTGGAAAATCTATTCATTTTTTAAAATAAAAAAAAAATTGTATTGGAAAAGATAAAACATTAATGGAAGACAGTAAGAAAGATCAATGGAGTAAAATTTTTTCAAGCAATGAAAAGAGAAGTAGGAGCATCTCCAACAGTCTCGTTTCTTTCACTTTTCAGCCATAGAAACTAGCTTGGAA